CTTTAAATATTTCAGAAGCATCCTTTTATGTAGAAACATTTTTGTTTCATTCATTATAAATTAGTCTTATCTACTCATTATAAAACTAACACTAAAGCCTTTTATTTGGTAAACTTTGTGAGACTAGCAGGCATTACCCTCTGCAGTTGTATTACTAAGGTCAGTTGAAATTCAGAGTTCAGAAAAGCTTATGAAGCCTGCAAATGAAGTTCACTTAATTTTGATTCATAATACCTAATGTCTTTTCTTATAAGCATTTGATTCTTAAGGGAAAGAGAACCATTTAGTAATAATTACTAGTTGCTTCTTATAATTTTAAGCCATGTAAATATGCTTTAAACAAATCTCATATGTGATGAATCTAGGTTTATAAAATATATAAATTAATTGGTTACTTGTATTTCAAAAGAACAGTTTTTGAGGTCAGGTTCAACTCGAGAAGAATGAACAGGAAGGGCTCACATCTTGGATAGAGGGAAAATATCTTGGTATAATGCCTGGAACATTCTCCCTCCTCCATTCCACCTAATGACTTCTCTGGCTTCCTTAAGTCCCAACTAAATTCTCTTTTAGTACAGGAAGCCTTCCCCAACCTCTTTTAATCCTACTGCCTTCCCTTTTCAAATTATTCCCTATTTATCCTGTATATAGCTTGTTTTGTATACATTTGTTTACATATTTTCTCCCCCATTAGATTGTGAGTTCCTTTTTTTACCTCTTTTCCTATTCCCAGTGCTTAGCACTGTGCCTAGCACGTAACAGACACTTAATAAATGTTTATTGATTGATTGCAATTGTAGAGACAATGATTTACCTCATCTATATATAGTTGTGCCACGAAATTTCCTCTGCTGAGGAACATCTAAAAACATCTATAGACTTGAATAATAGTAATAGGATTTTAAGGTTTGCAAAGTATTTTATAAATATTATATCATTTTATCTTTACAAAAGCCCTGGGGAAAAAGTGCTACTATTATCACCATTTTATATATGAAGGACCTAAAACAGAGGTTAAGTGACTTGACCAGGCTAATATAGCTGGTCTGAGCCCAGATTTGAACTTAGGTCTTCCGAACACCCGGTCTAGGGCTCTATCTGATGTACCACCTAGACCGTGTGGTTTGTGCTGGAGTAGACTCTGAAAAAGAGACTGCTGAGGAAGAATAAGAGTGAAATGGTATAAATCCTGGAACATATTCTTTGGGAACTGTCCTTCCTCATCCCTTAATCCCCTGAGGGGTGGCAACAAAAAGTTATCCCAGAAAATAGCTTCAGGAATCATTTGCTTCTGGCTTGCTCTACAGGTACCTATGTGGTCACAATTTAAACTCCATCTTGAAAGGAATGGTGACACAGTGGATAGAATGCTGGCATCACAAGATCTGGGTTTAAATCCCACCTTAGCTACTTACTAGCTGTGTGATCAGGGGCAAATCACAAACCTTTCAAGGTCTTGGAAATGAGGTGATGATAATAACGATTTGCACTATTTACTTCATGGAGATGTTATGATAAAAGCCCTTTGTAAATCTTAAAATACTCAATGAATATGAATTATTATTAAGTTTTCTTTTACATCTATGGTTAAGTTTTTAAAATAAATGTGTGTATGCCTACAGAATTATAGAAAACCTCAATCTATTACCCTTAACCAAATCAAGTTTAGTCATAGACACATCTCTCAAATGCTTACATAAATGAAGCATGGATTTTTCTGAATGCTGGATTAGTAATGCATTAGTTAGGTAAAAAAGACTTAAGTTCAAATCTTGAGTTAGATACTTACCAGCTGTGTGACCTTGGGCACATCATTTAACCACTATGTGCCTCAGTTTTCTCATTTGTAAAATGAAGATAATAGCAGAACTTGCCTCCCAGGATTGTTGTGAGGATAAAATGAGATACTATTTCTAAAGTGCTTTGCAAACCTTACAGAGCCCTATAAATGCTAAATGTTGCTATTACCTTATTTTCCACTTGGCTGCACTAATTTTGGACTTTTTTTTTTTTACTTCAACAAGCCTTGGGAACTTCATTATTGGAAAATCCCATCATCTGCAAGATTCAATCAAATTTGAATTATCCCACTCTCTTTTACACTGTCTCCCCCTATGATTGGAGAGGGCAGTCATGAACTCCTCAACCTCTGTTTAAGGAGAGAATATAGGACAGACATCTCCCGATTTCCCACCAAGCTGCACAGACTTTTACACTTCTTTGACTTTTCTACTATGTCCTTCTACCAAAATCCTCCCTTACCTTCCTCTCTCCTTAATCTTTTTTTTAAGCTCTCTTTTGTTTTTTCTCTTCTCCTATTTGATTACAAGCTCTCTAAAGGCAGAGGTTGACTTTCTTTTTCATAATTATATCCCCAGTGCTTAGCACAGTGCTTGGGACATATTAAGAACTTAGTAAATGTTTATTGACTATTATCATGAATCAATGAGCATTTATTAAATGTCTACTACATATTGCTGTAAATCCATTTTACTCATCGCTATCTTCACTAGATTTATTTTTGTACCTGTGGGGCACAATCCATTTTGTCCTATCTCACCTTCCAAGAAAATCCCTGTTAGAATGAAACTAATAACATACTCTAACTTTTTCATACCTGTTAATATGTTAGCACAATTGTCTCTCTTCTTCAGGAATCACAACAAAGCAAATAAATTAGTGTTCTTTTTCATCAACTCACTGCCTAAATATTTGCCTGCTTAGCTAAATTTTTAGGATGTCTAAAGCAATTTGTAATGTTGATATTCATTAGTTTATGGCTCAGAACATATATCTAAATGCCGACGTTTTATTTCAGTAACTTGATGGCTGCTTTCATTTTGAAGTTATAGAATACATAATACTCTTAATACAACTGAGAGAACAGACTTGGAGAGATTGCCAATAGATTAATTGACATAAAGAAAACCTAAGTCACCAATGTCAGGTAGAGTCAGTGAAACATTGGAGTGGATTAGTTTTCAAGAGGGAATATTAGGAAGGAAAGATGAAGAGTTCTACATGAATTTAAACAGATTAGTGAGCCATTTGTGAAGAAAGATAGGTGAGACTTCTGGGAACAGAATAAAAATCTAAGGTGAAGAAGTCAATTGGGTGTTAGCTACTATAAAGGTTATTGAAGCATTAAAGTGGATGAATCATCTGGAATTAAATTTAGAGGAAAGATCAAGGGGGAAGGACAATTCTACAGGGAAATGAGAAAGGGAATTAAATGAGCAATGTAAGCATACTGAAGGGGTTGCTGTTGAGGTAAAGGGGTTTAAAAAAAATCCTTCTAGCCAAAGAGAGAGGTTGTTGATTGCACCAGAAGCACCCAGGGAATAAAAAAGTTAGGTGTGGTAGCAATATGAGCCTGTAGTTTAAGCAGAATTTTTTCTTTTATTGTGAAGGTCATAAGAGTAACAACATAGTGCCCAAATCATCATGAACCATTCTCAAAGAACTGGAGTTGTTAGTGTCCAACTCAAGAAGTTTTTCTTATTACATTCAAATGGGCATTAAATAAATTTATTAATATGTTTATTCAAGAAGCATTTTTGAGTGCCTTCTGTATGGGAAGCACTGAGCTAAATGAGTTATCACCTTTCTTTGGAGAACTCAAACTCATTGCCATCATTATCTCAAAAAGAATCCCTATTTCCATATTCCTGGGGCAGTGGATAGATTGCCGGGTCTGAAGTCAGGAAGACTCATCTTTCTGAGTTCAAATATGGCACCAAACACTTAATATCTTTATGACCCAGGGCAAGTCCAGTTAACCCTGTTTGCTGCAGTTTCCTCTTCTGTAAAATGAGCTGGAGAAGGAAATACTAAACCGCTCCAGTGTCTTTGCCAGGAAAACCCCAAATGGGGTTAATGAAGAGTCAGACACGAATGAAAAAAAATCCCATGTTCCTAGGGGATGATTAAGGAGCTGACTTTTTGTTCTGTCTTTTGCTGGCAAAGAAATTGGGATTTAGAGAGATTCTGTGAATTAGTAGTATTTCTGGAACTAAATTCCAATCTTTTGTCACTTGAAGCCTGGTGTTTTAACCACTTACAAAATGAATGAGTATGAAAGAAAGTGTACTAAAATGGAGTTAACTACATCTAGGATCTATATTCAGTGCTATCCCTTACTAGCTGTATAGTCTTGGGCAAGTCATTTAATCTCTTTGTATCTCTTTCCATATCTTTAAAAGAAGCCTAATCATATTTGTCATTCCTACCTCCCCCCAGGGTTGTGGTAAAGAGCTAATAAGATGACACATGTGAAGGTGCTTTGAAGGCTCCAAAGTCCTATACCTAAAGCATTGTTACCATTACCCTATAATGCTATGTAACTAAAGCAACATTAAGTAAGTCTTAATCAGTTTAATTTTTCTTTTGCATGGACTTTCTTGTGATAAATGTCATTTTCCATTAATATTTTTCTGCTTTCCAGGTGAGAAAAAAAGGAATGATACAGGGAAATTTTATTTTCCTCCATGACCTCCTCCTCTCTTTTTTTCCCCCAAAGACAGGTCCCAGGTGTCTTGAGACTTAGACAGGGGTACTTCCAGATCTTTGCTGATCTCCACACTTAACTTCATACACCAACTCTAGGGCATGAAGGGAAATAGCTAAGGGAAAGGTATAATGGAAGAGCAAAGGCTAGCCAAATTTATTTGAATGTTGAAGATACTTAGCTTAAAACAAACAAACAGAAATCAATCCACAACAGAAACGATCAAAACACCATTTATAACTTCCAATGGCTAGCTATCAAATTCTACCTGTTACTTCCTTGTTGGGGAGTGGTAGAACAAAGCATTGATCATAAATTGTCATTTTAGTTTGAAAACATAGTTTTGTCTCTCAATCCAGAGTTCCATGATATTATCCAAAAAAAATAAAACTAACTCAATTCAAACTTCAATTAAATGAATTAATGGAATTATTGTTAGCCTTCCCAGTACTTATTTAAAAGTCCAATTAATCAAGATATAACTTGAACTTACCGAAACATTGTCCCCTGAGGAGATGTTTTAGATCTGCACACTGATTAAGAATTTCCAATCAAATGTGTGACATCTTAGGATCTATTAGAGATCTGTGTCCTGGAAGAAACGAAGAAACATATTATAAGTAAGTTGAGATAAAACTAGTCAAACGAGTCTGGACAGAGCAGCCTTAACCAGTATAGCTTAAAGAAAAGTCAAAAGACCTATTAGAGTTCCAGTAAGAATTTCTTTGTTTTGACCAATTAAATAAAGGAGAAGAAACTGGTTGCAAGGCTTTTCATGAGAAATGTCATTGGAATGCACTAGGATTAAGAATCTGAAGAAGTGTACATGTTTATCTGTGCATATATATGTATACTTAGAAGACTTTTTAGAGTAAAAGTAAAAAAAAAAGCCATTTTCCCAGCATGGGAAGCTAATTAGCATTTCTCAAAAAATATTTGAGTTGAATTGTTGTTGAAGACTTATCTGTGAAAGTTTCTTGCCTGCCTCCCAGGGACAGTGTGACATTGGTGGGAAATTCACATTAAATGAAAATCTTTGATAATTCTGAGTATGAGGCTTGGAATTTGGATTTTGGCCTAATTCTGTCATTCTTTCTGAGTCTAAGTTTTCTCATCTGTAAAATGGGAACAATATTGTTTACTATCCGCTTTACAGGATTGCAGTAAGGAACAAATGAAATAACACATATAAAGTAGGGCAACTAAGTGGCCTAGTAGATAGAGCACTGGAATCTGAAAGACTTATCTTCATTTGTTCAAATCTTGTCAGACATTTACAAGCTGTATGATCCTGAGCAGGTCACTTAACCCCGTTTACCTCAGGTCCTCATCTGAAAAATGAGCTGGAGAAGGAAATGGCAAACCATGTCAGTATCTATGCCAAGAAAACCCCAAATGGGGTCACGGAGAGTTGGATATGACTGAGCAGCAACAGCAATATAAAGTACTTTGAAACTATAAACCACAATATCAACCTTAATGGTTCCCATTTAAAAAAATATTTTGTTGATGCATTATGTTCTTAAATCACATTAACTTCTGAATCTAATCTTCTGCACACTCTGCCCAGTGAACCTTCCATTATAATAAAGATTTTAAGAAGCTTAGAAAAACCAACTAACACATTAGCTGAGTCTGACTGAATATGTATGATTCAACATTCATGGTCCCCCACCTCTGCAAAGAAAGAGAGAGGTATATTTTCTCATCTCTTCTTTAAGACATGTCATTATAATTACTCATTGTTCAGTTTTGGTTTTGTTTTTTATTGTTTACACTTATATTATTATAGTCATTATGTATATTCTTTTCTTGGTTCTCTGACTTCACTTTGCATCAGTTTTCCCATACTTCTCTGGATCATGTTCATAATTTCTTTTCAATCAGATAATCAACAAATTAGGATTTATTAAATACCTTACAGTGTGTTAGGCATTGTGTTAGGTGCCTTGTGGTTCAAAAACATTCTATTACACTCATATACCACAATTTATTTAACCATTCTCCAGTCACTGGGCACTCACCTTATTTCTGGGTCTTTTACTGTCACAAAATATGCTGCATATTTTGATAAATATTTTGATGTCTATGGGACTTGTATGTTTTTCACTCCTTTGGAGTATATGCCTACCACTGGATGATTGCTAATGTAATAAGTAATAAGTAATAAAACAAGTTAAAGGAACAACTTTAAAAGAATCTGCTTCCCTTATCTAGACAATCTGTAGGTTATATTACAACCTGATTAACAGAATTTGAAGAGGATATTTGGTTTGACTACATATGCAGTGTATATGGTTGTGTTTTATTCTGTCTTGATTTGACTTTCCTTTTTCAGACTGACTCAATTTCAAGGAAGAGAAAGTCCTGCCAAGAAGGTCAACCAAATGGTATTTTTTTTTGCTTATTTTATTAATTTATTTTGATTTATCAACAATCACTTCCATATGTTTTTGAGTTTAAAATTTTTCTCCCCCTTCCTGCCCACCTCCCTCCCCAAAATGGTGCACAATCTGATATCGGCTATACATTTACATTCCTATTAAACGTATTTTCACATTAGTGAAGTTGTAAGTAAAAATTAAACCAATAGGAGGAACCATCAGAAAGAGGAAACGAAACTCAACAGAAGAGAAAAAAAAGATAGTGATTCAACTTTCACAGTTGTGATTACTATCTGTGTCTTTTTCTCCATCCTTTTCCCCCCTGTTTATGCTTTTCTTTCTCCTCTCTCCTTTACCCCCCCACCAGTACTTTGCTTTTGACCACCGCCTCCTTCAGTCTCTCCTCCCTTCTATTTTCCCCCTCCCCCCTTTCTCTTCGCCCCTACTGCTTCTTCCCTCCCTTCCATCCCCCTCCCTTTTCTTCCCTCTTTTCCCTCCTACTGCCCATAGTGCAAGTTAGATTTCCATACCTAACTGATTATGTTATTCCCTTCTTGAGCCAAATCTGATGAGAGCAAGGTTCAATCAATGCTCACACCCCCCCTCCCTTCTTTCCCTCTGCTGTAATAGGATTTTCTGTCTTTTCCTGTAATGTAATTTACTCTTGTCTGCCTCCTCCTTTCTCAGTACATTTTCTAAGATCAGACTAATCCACTTACTTGGATCCATTTAACTCACTTGATTAGATTTTTTTTATCATTACATCAAAGTCAACTAATATGCACCCCCTTTATGTATACTCCTTTAACATGGTGTAATAACAATACAGTTCTCAAGAGTTGCAAGTGTCATCTTCCCTTGTAGGGAAGTAAATAGTCTACCCTTATTAACAACATTTTGTATCTTTTTGTCCCATTTACCTTTTTATGTCTTTCTTGAATCTTGGACTTGAAGATCAAATTTTTTGTTGAGCTCTGGTCTTCTCCCTCGAAAAATCATACTCATTTTTGCAGGGTAGTTGATCCTTGGCTGCAATCCAAGCTCCTTTGCTTTCCAGAATATCATGTTCCATACCCTGCAGTCTTTTAATGTGGAAGCTGCAAGGTCCCATGTAATCCTGACTGTGGTTCCATGATTTTTAAATTGTTTCTTTCTGGCTGCTTGCAGCACCTTCTCTTTCATCTGGTAATTTGGAATTTTTCTATTATATTCTTTGGTGTTGTCAATTTGGGATCTCTTTCAGGTGGTGAGTGGTGTATTCTTTCTATGGTTATTTTACCTTCTGGTTCTAGGACTTCAGGGCAGTTTTCCTTTATGATTTCCTGAAAGATACTGTCCAGGCTCTTTTTTTCATTATGATTTTCAGGTAGTCCAATGATTTTTAAATTTTCTCTCCTGGATCAATTTTCCAGGTCGGTTGTTTTACCAATGAGATATTTTAAGTTTTCATCCATTTTTTCATTTTTTTGTTCCCGTTTGACTGATTCTTGTTCTCTCATAGAGTCATTAGTTTCCATTTGTCTAATTCTAGTTTTTAACAGATTGTTTTCTTCTGTTAGTTTTTGTACTTCCTTCTTCAATTGCCCAATTGTATTTTTTATTTAATTTTTTTTATTTTTTCCATATGCTTTTGAGTTGAAAATTTTTCTCCCTTCCCCCCCCCTCCACCCTCCCCAAGACGGCGCACAATCTGATATAGGCTTTACATTTACATATCCATTAAACATATTTTCACATTAGTGAAGTTGTAAGTAAAAATTAAAACCAAATAGAGGAACCATCAGAAAGATGAAACAAAACTCAACAGAAGGTAAAAATAAGTGATAGCGATTCGACTTCCATAGTTCTTTCTTTGGATGTGGACAGCATTATCCATCCCGAGGCCTCTTAGATCCTCATAATGCTGAGAAAGGTTCAGTTTAACAATCTTAGTCATTGCATAATGTGGCTGTTATTGTGTACAAAGTCCTCTTAGTTCTGCTCACTTCACTCAGCATCAGACCATATAAGTCTTCCCAGGTTTTTCCGAAGTCAGCCTGTTCATCATTTCTTATAGCACAATAGTATTCCATTACATTCATATACCACAACTTGCTCAGCCATTCCCCAATTGATGGGCATCCTCTCAATTTCCAATTCTTTGCCACCACAAAAAGAGCTGCTATGTATATTTTTGTACATATGGGTCCTTTTCCCATTTGTTTGATCTCTTTGGGATATAGCCCTAGAAGTGCTATTGCTGGATCAAAGGGTATGCACATTTTTGTAGCCCTTTGGGCATAGTTCCAAATTATTCTCCAGAATGGTTGGATCATTTCTCAACTCCACCAACAATGTATTAGCATTCCAATTTTCCCACATCCTCTCCAACATTTATCATTTTCCTGTTTTGTCATGTTTGGCCAATTGTATTTTTAAGGGATTTGTTTTCTTCAGTGTACTTTTTTTCCAGTTTGCCAATTGTGTTTTTTAGGGACTTGTTTTCTTCAGTGTACTTTTTTTTTCCAATTGGCCAATTGTATTTTTAAAGGACTCTTCTATCTCTCTCATTAGATTTTTAAAATCCTTCTTGAGCTCTTCTAAGAAGGCTTTTTGGGCTTCAGACCATTCATATTCCCTTTTGATGTTGCAGATGTGGGTTTGTTGACAATGTTGTCCTCCTCTTCAGAATTTTTTTTTTGATCTCCACTCTTCTCATAATATGAATCTATGGTATGTTTCTTTTTACTCATGGTGTTTCTTTATTCCCTTGCCTTTAAAGAGATTGAGCTCTCCTGTTGGGGAGCAGAGGGCACTGACCCAAGCTTCTTGTGTTGGGAGCCTAGGTCTTGGTCACTGGCTTTGTGTGCTGGGGCCTCTTATGTTGGCAATTGGAGGCTGTAGGGTTTTGGCAGCTTACCTCTTGTTGGGCTGGAATCAGCAAGGCTGGAACTTTCAGGCAATTCTAGGTTGCCTACTTTTCCTTTCCTTTATCTTTCAGCTCCTTTTAGATGGGTGCTGCAGAGTGTTTATCTGCCTGGGGCCCCTTGCAATGCTGCCTCCCTCATTTCTGCTAATGCAATGGGAGATTCCTTTGTGGTAGAGTACTGAGGTGCCTGGTGGTTTTCTGAGCTGGTTTCCACTAGTTACCCTGCCCTCACTGAGGCACTCAGAGGTCCAGGTGTTGGTGTTTGCCTGCTCTACCACCTGGGCTTCAGG